GTAACATTTTTAAATTGTTTGTTTTATTTAGTCAAAAATCGTTCTCTAGGAATATACCGGACTAGTGATGATGAAAGGAGCAGGGATGGACTAGTGATGATGAAAGGAGCAGGGATGGACTAGTGATGATGAAAGGAGCAGGGATGAACTAATGATGATGAAAGGAGCTGGGATGGACTAGTGATGATGAAGAAAAAAAGAGTAGAGATGAACTAGTGAGGGTCCAAAAATCGTCCTCTAGGAAATTACTGAACTAGTGAGGGGAAGAACAGGTAGAACTAGTGACGAGAAAAACAGGGATGATCTAGTTAGGAGAAGAGCAAGGATGATCTAGTGAGGAGAAGAGCGGGAATGAACTAGTGAGGAGAAGAGCAGGGATGAACTATTGAGGAGAAGAGCGGGGATGAACTAGTGAGGAGAAGAGCAGGGATGAACTTGTGGGAGGAGAAGAGCAGGGATGAACTAGTGAGGAGAAGTGCAGGGATGAACTAGTGAGGAGAAAAGCGGAGATTAACTAGTGAGGAGAAGAGCAGGGATGAACTTGTGAGAGGAGAAGAGCAGGGATGAACCTGTGAGGAGAAGAGTAGGGATGAACTTGAGAGAGGAGAAGAGCGGGGATGAACCAGTGAGGAGAAAAGCAGGGATGATCTAGTGAGGAGAAAAACAGGGATGAACTAGTGAAGGGAAGAGCAGGGATGAACTAGTGAAGAGAAGAGCGGGGATGAACCAGCGAGGAGGAGAGCAGTGATGAACAAGTGAGGAAAAGAGTAGGGATGAACTAAGTGAGGAGAAGAGCAGGGATGAACTAAGAGAGAAGAGCAGGGATGAACAAGTGAGAAGAAGAGCAGGGATGATCTAGTGAGGAGAAGAGCAGGGATGAACTAGTGAGGAGAAGAGCAGGGATGAACTAGTGAGGAGAAGAGCAGGGATGAACTAGTGAGGAGAAGAGCAGGGATGAACAAGTGAGGAAAAGAGTAGGGATGATCGAGAAGAGCAGGGATGAACTAGTGAGGAGAAGAGTAGGGATGAACTAGTGAGGAGAAGAGCGGGGATGAACCTGTGAGGAGAAGAGCGGGGATGAACTAGTGAAGAGAAGAGCAGGGATGATCTAGTGAGGAGAAGAGTAGGGATGAACTACTGAAGAAAAGATCAGGGATGAACTAGTGAGGAGAAGAGCGGGGATGAACCTGTGAGGAGAAGAGCAGGGATGAACTAAGTGAGGAGAAGAGCAGGGATGAACTAAGAGAGAAGAGCAGGGATGAACTAAAAGAGGAGAGGAGCAGGGATGAACTAAGAGAGAAGAAGAGCGGGGATGAACCTGTGAGGAGAAGAGCAGGGATGAACTAAGTGAGGAGAAGAGCAGGGATGAACTAAGAGAGGAGAAGAGCAGGGATGAACTAAGAGAGGAGATGAGCAGGGATGAACTAAGAGAGAAGAAGAGCAGGGATGAACTAGTGAGGAGAAGAGCAGCTAGAAATGATAAATTAAGGTTGTTAAGTTATTATGTTTCAGATGTAAAAATATTGTTAATCTTACTTCTACTCCATCATGATCTTCCCTCCTCTTCTTCTTTTTCTTCTTCTACAGTCTTCTCTGGGTCAGGAGGGAAAGAATAAACTGTCCACAGCATCAGCTGGACTCCAGGTACAGGGTGTCCCACGAAACATGACAGTAGCAAGACGACTTTAATGTCTTTAACTTCATATCATCGGCGATATTAAAAGCACAAAAAATGCAGACCACATTTTGGAAATGCAAAGACTACGGCCGGGTATTTTGGGACTAATATAAATCAATTCATCTTGAGAATATTTTGCCAAATTTTGCTTCTTAGTCCATGGGATTCATAAATTATCATTTTTATTTAAAACCGTATATATTGGCAATCCAAATCCATTTTTTATTGAACTCTTTAAATTTGTTGTCACTCCGATTCTTAAACCAATAATTTGCCAATGTTTACTTCAATAAATTTGTCCAAAATAAATATATTTATTTATTTTAGGAGCGTATGGAGAAGCTGCTAGAATTAAGTTCCAGGCGTGCTGTTATAAAACTAAACAACAAACTGTTTAAGGTATTGATATTTTAATCGACAAAATTCTATATAGTGCTATCGTTTCATAAAGTTGGGTTTGATTTTCATTTTCAAAGTTTTATGTCTACAATTTCAGTAAATTTTAGGTTCAGTCCTAATGAGAAAGATTTTTGGCCCCTTCCCCCCCCCCAAAAAAAAAAAATTTCTTTGATAAGTTGACAAAATATTTTGAGATTTTTATCTAGGACTTGGTGAAATCGTCTCCTCGCAACTATTCAGTAGTTGTCATGTTCACAGCTCTCTCTAGTAGTAGGTATACATTTCTCAAACCTTCATGTTCACAGCTCTCTCCAGTAGTAGGTATACATTTCTCATACCTTCATGTTCACAGCTCTCTCCAGTAGTTGGTATACATTTTCAAACCTTCATGTTCACAGCTCTCTCTAGTAGTAGGTATACCTTTCTCAAACCTTCATGTTCACAGCTCTCTCTAGTAGTAGGTATACCTTTCTCAAACCTTCATGTTCACAGCTCTCTCTAGTAGTAGGTATACCTTTCTCAAACCTTCATGTTCACAGCTCTCTCTAGTAGTAGGTATACCTTTCTCAAACCTTCATGTTCACAGCTCTCTCTAGTAGTAGGTATACCTTTCTCAAACCTTCATGTTCACAGCTCTCTCTAGTAGTAGGTATACCTTTCTCAAACCTTCATGTTCACAGCTCTCTCTAGTAGTAGGTATACCTTTCTCAAACCTTCATGTTCACAGCTCTCTCTAGTAGTAGGTATACCTTTCTCAAACCTTCATGTTCACAGCTCTCTCTAGTAGTAGGTATACCTTTCTCAAACCTTCATGTTCACAGCTCTCTCTAGTAGTAGGTATACCTTTCTCAAACCTTCATGTTCACAGCTCTCTCTAGTAGTAGGTATACCTTTCTCAAACCTTCATGTTCACAGCTCTCTCTAGTAGTAGGTATACCTTTCTCAAACCTTCATGTTCACAGCTCTCTCTAGTAGTAGGTATACCTTTCTCAAACCTTCATGTTCACAGCTCTCTCTAGTAGTAGGTATACCTTTCTCAAACCTTCATGTTCACAGCTCTCTCTAGTAGTAGGTATACCTTTCTCAAACCTTCATGTTCACAGCTCTCTCTAGTAGTAGGTATANTGTTTTAATGGATTTCATAATAGAGTGTAAAATAACTCCGGGAATGGAACTATTTGAACAACACTATTTCACTGAGCAATATATCATATTGACGAGAACTGAAGGACATGAGAAGGATTAAGAGGGGAGAACGGTGAGGAGATTTAACGGAATGGAATGAATTTTGCAGTAAAACATAAATTCTTTAATACTATTGTTATTTTTTTAGGGTAAGCCCAAGAAGCAAGATCATATGGATATTCAACGACTAGGATTCTCGGGGGAAGCAATTGCGAGGTCACTGTTCCACTTAAATTTATTTTTCCGCTTTTTTTTCTCTTTCGTAGAGTTTTTTTTCTGAATAGGTCTTTAAATGCTATTGTTTGACATAATTATTCTTTGCTGAAGCATATTGGCCCCAAAAAACATGCTTCTTCTTGAATTTTTGTATTAAAAAAATAAATTGAAAATCAAATTTTATGATTTGCTTTAATTCAACATGGATCTGTTGAATGAATGTTATTTTTAGTAGTTGAAATAAATTATAGTCGGATAACATAAATTACAATTAGATAAACTAAATTAATTTCTAGATGAATCTGTTGATGATTTTTATATAATTATTTAGATGGATTATGGAGCGAACCGAGATAAATATTCGTGTATTCAGACCTCCGAATTACACTGGTTAGATTTATTTATTTTATCTACATAATCTGAATCATAACATTGTTAGTGTTAGAGTCGGCATATTTATTAGAAAGGGGATGGTGGAGATATCCTATTTGATGTAGGGGGGGGGGGTCTGCCTTCATTTTCGGTCCAAATCTTCCAATTTTTTTACTGCACGCCTAATTAGTGATCGAAATTCCTAAATAAAATAAAATTTAATTTTAATGACCTCTAATGACCTCCACAAATATATCTGCCTTCATTTTCGGTCCAAATCTTCCAATTTTTTTACTGCACGCCTAATTAGTGATCGAAATTCCTAAAATAAAATAAAATTTAATTTTAATGACCTCTAATGACCTCCACAAATATTTCAAATAAGGCTTTATGCATATCAAATGAAAGCTAGAAACCTAGGAAATACAGTAGCAGCAATAAATCCAGAGTTTGACCTTCTAATGACCTCTTACGACCTCTAATGAAAAAAAAATTAAACTGTTTTAACTATGGCTTATTGCATATTAATTAAAGCTAGGATCCTCTAGATCCTCATGAATACAGTGGAAACCCACTTTCAGTCATGAATTATTAGATTGAAATATCTAAATATATACATATATGGAGTAATAATCTCTGTTGTCTGTTAATAACACATGAACCTCTGGACCAATTTGCCTCAAATTTTGATTTGAGAACCACGGGAATGTTCTTAGCTTCGTATAACTTTCTAAGTTAAGTTGGTCGACTTTTATAGGGAAAAATAGCTAAAATCGTAATTTACGACCAAGCGCGGATAACGTCGGGAGTAACTACTTAGATATTTTCTTATTTAGGAACAATGGCTCTTCTAACTCTGTTTGGTATGGTTGGTATTCTTGTCTATCTCAGGTAAACCATCTACTTGTTTACATTTTAGGGTTTAAGGGGACTGTTCACGTTATTCATAAGAGTTACATGAGCAATTTACAATGGTGTATTCTTTAACTTTTTTTAATTGACACTGCAGAGTTCAGATTTATGCAGCTGAGACAAGGAATGAAACTGACAGACAACAGTTATCACTTTTTAAGACAAGAAAACTGCGATATCTTTCCCAGTGTTTCTCAAATTTCAATTTAAAGGGTTTCGTTGTAAATCATGCATAGAAAAGGGTCTGTGTTGCCAAATTGAGGTGCAACTAGAGAGGGTTGGGACTTGCCCAGTCCCATCCTATGAACGGTCAACATTCGATGATATTAAAAACTATCACCTTACATCAAAAGCAATAAAAATCATATTTTTCTCTTGTTCAGGCGGAATAACCTTTAGTTCCTGTTGAACAAGAACACGTGGTGTATCCTAGCAATGTTCTTTGTTCTATCAATGATCAGTGGACAGATGTGGAACCATATAAGGTTATTATATTGTTCTTATAAAAATCTGAAAACTGATTCTGATGTATCTCTTCTTTAACTTTATTTTCTTTCTTTAATATGACCTAAACCTTGTCTGTTTTAAAAAAATTTCGCATTTTACTACAATACAATAGTATGTAATTGAAATACTTAAAAAAAATTCTAAACTCTAGCAGACGAAACATTCTTCGGATTAAAGCTTTCCTATTAGACATCCACATTCCAAATTTTTTATTAAAACCAATTACATAGACGATCTCAAAATCGGGATTAAATCAGAGGTGTGTAATTTTTAAAAAAAATTTTGAGTAGTTAAAAAGCAAGTTTTTTTCTTCATAATACACAAAAATCATTTATTTTCCCCAATTGAGCGAATAAAACCATAAAAAAAATTGCGAGTGAAAAAATTATTTTTAAGTATGTGTGCGGGGGGGGATGATTTTTCGAGGAACTATACACCCCTTGATTAAATTCCCAAATGTAATGGGATATAATGTATCAACATCATACTGTCAAGGTTAAAATGTTAAAAAATATATTTCAGGGGACCTCCATTTGTTCATAACAGTCAGTCCGGGGGTGTTGCATATATTCACGGCAGCAGTCAGGTATACAGCTCTTTTAGTTCATTTCACAGTTTCTTTCATAGATAACTAAATAAACATAGATAGCTTATGTACGCAAAATCACCAAGAATTGTACAGTCCGCGAACTCATACTTCTAGGGGTCAACGTGTACTTCAATGATAAGCGGGGTGGTTTGGTGTTTTAATGGATTTCATGATAGAGTGTAAAATAACTCCGGGAATGGAACTATTTGAACAACACTATTTCACTGAGCAATATATCATATTGACGAGAACTGAAGGACATGAGAAGGACTAAACTAACTTAAATTTCTCTCTACAGAACTCATGTACACCACAAGTACTCAATGACATAAGAACAGCCAATGTTCACAACCGACCTAGTTAATCTATATAATAGGAATATCTTTAAAACATCTCTGTACATTTATATCTTTCAAGATGAAAAATGTCGTCTTATGCGCAATCTTTCCTTACCAATTGTTTTTTTAAAGAATTTTTTTATTTAAATTTTTTTTTTTTTTCATTCATTTCATTGTTTGCACTGCGACTTACTGTTTGAATAATTTAGGGTCAGTTCGTGTTGGAGACGTACTTCGTGATGGGTATGTACGGTATGATCGTGATGGGGGTTATCCTACTGTGTGAAGCTGGGGATGAGAAAGTAGACCCAGGGGTAAGTAAAATATTTTTTTTGCAAGAAAATTATAATTTTATTTTTCATTTTGAACTAGCCGTTGGATTTTTTGCCTCACCATTGCATTGTCATACAGAGCTGCCAAAATAAAACTTAAAAAAAAAACACTTAAAATAAAATTCAGGAGATAAAAAGGTAAACAAATTTGTGCTGATAGCTCAAATATTGAGTTTGAATGTAAAGTTACGTGATTTTATTTAGCTACGACGGATTCAGGCAGTCGCAGGGCTTTGTCTTATGGCATTCTTTTACAGTTTGGTTCTCTCTATATTCAGGTTAATTTTTAACCTTTATTTAATTATTTAATCGTTTGGTGTCAAGTATCATTAAGAAAGGAAGATTATCAGATCAAAATAAATCAACCCCCCCCCCCCTTCAAAATGTATACCCTGGCCGACGACCGTGTTTCGAGTTGAAAGAAAAAAGGCGAAGAGAATATTGTTTTATTACGCCATGTTTCTGTTTCGCAGAAATAAAATTCATTTCAACACTTCCCAATAAAGTAATTGTCAAGGAACTGTATTGCAATTTACGTTTATAATTTTAGGAGTAAAGCCGGTGGTTACCCGTACAGTTTCCTCTTCAAATAGTTATGTACAGAGCGGTACAGTACACACTGTACAGGGCGGGACAGTACACACTATACAGTATTGCTCTGTACAGAGTTCAATGAATACAGTGATTATTTCCTCCCATCGGATTATGTACCCATAGATTGTCATTGTACTAGTCTTGTCTATTGTTTCTTGTTTATTATTTGGATTTTTGGATTGGTGGACACACTGTGAGTTATCAGCAGCTAATAATACTCAAATTACCTTGAATACCTCATTTGTTTAAAACCTTAAAATTTCCAGTTTTATCTGCTTTAATCACAATTGTATCATTAATTTGTCTTATTTTTATGGCTTTTGAAGTCTCGAAATATTATATAAAGAGCTTATTGTTGTGCCAAAAATTGTCTAGTCAAGTAATTTCTGGATGTATGTTTTCTGAGCTCAAAACAAAGTTTCTCAATGCTCAATATGATTAGATCTCGTTATGTATATTTACGATGTAGTACAGTTACCTATATTTCAGAAGAGACTAGGACGAAAAAATGGCGCGAGTTGATTTATTTCTCCTCCTGGCCTTGGTGACCCAAACCTGGGCCTTGTATTCAAGTGGAGACGCCGTAGTTGATCTCACTCCTGCTAACTTTGATAAACAGGTTAGTTTCTTCAAGTCTAGTTAGTTTCAAGGGTGTATGTTTTTATTAACAAGAAACATTTTAAGATTTTTTAAATTTTTGGTTAAAAGTTTGAAAAAGAATATTAAAGAAAACTTGTTTCAAGTGCAATTTTTCATTTTTTTTTCAGCGCTTCAAAAATTGTAGGTATTTCATATAAATATACACTCCTGGTTGGTTTCTTCAAGTTCGTTTCAAAAATCTTGTTTCCAATCTTCAACTCTTATATTCAGAGATACATTCTCATCCAACCCTCTCATATACAGAGATACCTTCTCATCCAACCCTCCTATATACAGAGATACATTCTCATCCAACCCTTTCATATACAGAGATACATTCTCATCCAACCCTCTCATATACAGAGATACCTTCTCATCCAACCCTCTCATATTCAGAGATACCTTCTCATCCAACCCTCTCATATACAGAGATACCTTCTCATCCAACCCTCTCATATACAGAGATACCTTCTCATCCAACCCTCTCATATACAGAGATACATTCTCATTGTCCCCTTTTTTTGGTCTTATTTAAGTTCTATCTTAAGGCGGACATGTTGATAGTTTATATAATATGTATGTGACATTGTGTCAAATCCGGCTTAACCGAAACACGAGAATTGTTCCAAAAATGTAAAAAAACAATGTTGCATTTGCTTCTTTCTTGGTAACAAAATATAATAACAATAAATGTCATGTCCCTCGAATAAAGAAGTTTATGAATATCAGGAAAAGTTTTTGAAAGGCCTCAGTTATAGAGAGTCTGATGATGGAGGATGGTTTTAAAACATTAATCGGGTATCGGGAACAAACACTTTAAGGCTTGGTATGTTTCACGATATGTTTTCATCAGGTGATAAACGGTGACGGAGTGTGGATAGTTGAATTCTACGCTCCCTGGTGCGGACATTGTAAAAATCTAGTTCCGGAATACAAGAAAGCAGCCAAAGCACTCAAGGGAGTTGTCAAGGTAATTTTTTTTTTTTTTTTGATTGATGGCATGGTTGTCGGAATCAATTAAAAGGCTGATCGATTATCTGCGTGATTAATTGATCTAATCGCTGATTGATTTATTTGATATAGTTATTGATTCTTGTAATGATCTATTGAAAAATCTGATGGATCATTGACCTGGCGATTGACGGGGTCTGGTGATTGCTTTATTTTTGATTTCGACAAACTGATATGATTGATTCATTGCTTTGGCGATTGATCTGGTGATTGATTTATATTTGATTTCCATTAACTGATCTGGTTTCTGGTTTATTGATATGATGATAAAATGATTTATTTATTGATTTGTATTAGTTTTTTATTAATTGATGTTTGATCTGATAAATAAGTGTTCTGGTAGAAAATTGATTAACTGTTGGTTTATTGATTTATCTGACGATTATTTTGTATTAGCTGTCGATTGATTGCTTTGGTTTTTGCTTTTATGCGGATAATTGATTGATCTGTTGGGTATTTGATTTGTATTAGATTTCGATTAATTGAACTGGTTTTTGATTTATTGATCCTAAATATTGTTTTAGTGGTTGATTGAATGATATAATAATTGATTGATCTGTCGATTGATTGATTGATGAATTAGGTTGGCGCGGTGAATGCTGACGAGCACAAATCCCTGGGAGGACAATATGGAGTTCAAGGTTTCCCCACTATCAAGATATTTGGCGCCAACAAGAAGAAGCCTGAGGATTACAACGGGAACAGGAATGCCCAGGGGTTTGTAGATGCTGGTCTTGCTGCAGCTAAGAAGCTGGTCAATGCTCAACTCGGTGGAAAATCCAGCGGAGGTAAATATATTTCTATTTTTATTTCTAACCTATCTGAAACTTTCGTTAAAAATGTCGACCAACGTATCTTTTAAAACCAACTAAGAACTGCTTTCTAATCAAAATTCGCTCAAGGCATGAGCTATCAACAGATACACAAACAGAAAGACAGACAGAACCCCAAACAGAGATTACTTCATTTATCTAGTCTAAGATAACAGCCCTGTAACAAATAAACCCTGAGCTAGTAGTAGAGCTTTAAAGAATTTGCTAAAACTTTGATACACCTCCCCCCCGTACAGTGATTAGCGTTTAGATCAATACAATAAACACGACTTTTCTATTTAAATTTTGATTTTTCTCACAAGCTTTTTAAATTACAATTTTACAAGTAAACAATGAGACGCTGTTAATTTAAGATTCGGTAATGATGATGTACCAAACCTCTGTACTCTGTAGAGTACAAAAAAGTATACGTTAGTTCCACATTTTATACCTTCACTTTGTTCCCATGTTTCTGTGCATCAATGCTGTTTGGAAATCAAAAGGTCGTCTTCATTGTATTAATATACACGACGACGACTGTAAATATATTCATTTTTCTGTTAAGGTGGTGGAGGAAGCAAGAATGCTAATGCTGGTCCGGGAGAAGGTAAAGATGTTGTAGAACTTACTGAAGCTAACTTTAAGAAGAAGGTTTTCAACAGTGATAAGGTAATTCTATTATTTGCATTAATCCTATTCATTCTATTTTTCATTCATTCATTTATTTATTCATTCATTCATTCATTCATTCATTCATCCTAAATACTTCCATTATCCATATTACTTATTTTTTTCAATTTTAACTTTTTGTCATCGTTGAATTATATCCAAATTTAATTCTGAAATATGTGTACAGAATATTCCAAAGGATCGTATCCATTTTATCTGTAAAGAAATTCGGTAATTTTTAAAAAACTCAATTTACGCTCCCTGGTGTGTTGTTATATTATTAATGTATGTTTAGGGATGGTTGGTTGAGTTCTACGCCCCCTGGTGTGTTGTTATATTATTAATGTATGTTTAGGGTTGGTTGGTTGAGTTCTACGCCCCCTGGTGTGTTGTTATATTATTAACGTATGTTTAGGGTTGGTTGGTTGAGTTCTACGCCCCCTAGTGTGTTGTTATATTATAAATGTATGTTTAGGGTTGGTTGGTTGAGTTCTACGCCCCTTGGTGTGTTCTTATATTATTAATGTATGTTAAGGGTTGGTTGGTTGAGTTCTACGCCCCCTGGTGTGTTATTATATTATTAATGTATGTTTAGGGTTGGTTGGTTGAGTTCTACCCCCCCCTGGTGTGTTGTTATATTATTAATGTATGTTTAGGGTTGGTTGGTTGAGTTCTACAACCCCTGGTGTGTTATTATATTATTAATGTACGTTTAGGGTTGGTTGGTTGAGTTCTACAACCCCTGTTATATTATTAATGTATGTTTAGGGTTGGTTGGTTGAGTTCTACAACCCCTGGTGTGTTATTATATTATTAATGTACGTTTAGGGTTGGTTGGTTGAGTTCTACAACCCCTGGTGTGTTATTATATTATTAATGTACGTTTAGGGATGGTTGGTTGAGTTCTACGCCCCTTGGTGTGTTGTTATATTATTAATGTATGTTTAGGGTTGGTTGGTTGAGTTCTACGCCCCCTGGTGTGGACATTGTAAGAGTTTGGCCGGACCTTGGGCAGATGCTGCTTCACAGCTTAAAGGTTCGTTTAACAGCTATTAACTATTCTTATTTTAACAGGGGCTGTCTGCTTAAAGGGACTGTAAGCATAATTTTAAGTGACACTCCATGCAAGAGAGCAATGCTCGATTTACAACAGTACCTTTAAAACCTTTGTCTTTTCATCGAGTACAGAGATCTTTGTGTTAAAATCTATCGAAAACCGCTTGAATTCCTGTATAACCGAGTGTACACTATGTACTATATTGTCTAATCTCAACACAGCTGGTGTGTTACTTGTATTCCTTCACTTAATCGAATATTTTATATCTGTTGAGGTTTCCAAACAGTCAAAAGAAAATATTAGTATTTTTAAAACTTATTACAGCTGCAAACAAAGCTCAATGGTTCGTTCAACCAATATTCTTTTTTAACAGGGGTGGCTTAATAGATACGTTTATGTCTGGTTCACAATCGTATCCATTAAACCTTTGTTTTTGATGGGAAAATGATGGAGATATCCTTGTTTTTAATATTCTATAAATGAAAGTGGAAGCAGGAATTACATTGTTCAGTTTATGAACTATGGAGTATATTGCGTTTAACAATTTTATTGAATACTTTTATTCAGGAAAGATGAACCTTGGAGCCCTGGATGCAACCCAACACCAGAGTGTAGCACAAGAATACGGAGTACAGGGATACCCAACCATCAAGTACTTTGCTCCGGGTAGCTCAGGTAATATTAGAGCATAGATACCCAACCATCAAGTACTTTGCTACGGGTAGCTTAGGTAATGCAAGAGTAATGTAAAGGGATACCCAACCATCAAGTACTTTGCACCGGGTAGCTCAGTTAATATTAGAGCATAGATACCCAACCATCAAGTACTTTGCTACGGGTAGCTTAGGTAATGCAAGAGTAAAGTAAAGGGATACCCAACCATCAAGTACTTTGCACCCGGTAGCTCAGGTAATATTAGAACAGGAGTACAGAGTACTGGAATACTCAACCATAGTTGTAAGGCTCTTAGAGGAACTTTTTTTTATTACGCAGACAAACTGAGCAAAATGATTCGTGTTTTCAGATGATAAAGTATATGGCAATGTATGGTAGTTAAACTGAGAATGCAGTATTGTGGGAAAATAATTTGGATTCATTTAAGACTTTTAAAACGTTTTAATGATGTATAATTACTGAGTTTGAGCGCAAGGTCGACGTTAAAAATGATCAAATTAAGGTTTGTGAACCGATCATCTATTTTTTAAAATTATCAAATAACGACGACGAAAAATGTATAAGAAATTCTACAGTTAAAAATTCCAGAAAATCTACAGAAAATGTTTGTGAACAATGAGACATTACAGAAACTAATAAATGAATTAGATTGCTTATTTTCGATGATATAAGTTGATTTTTATTTTCTCAACCTGTTCTTAAGCAACTAATCAGTTTACTGTAGAATTGTTGTTACAATTTTCGTCGTCGTTATTTGATATTTTAAAAAATCTATTCTCATAACGTAATCACCCAAATGGATGATTTTGAACGTTGACTTTGCGCTCAAACTCAGTAATTGTACATCATTAAAACGTTGTATAGGTCTCAAATGAATCCTTAAATAAATTTTCCACAATACTCCATTCTCAGTTCAACTACCATACATTGCCGGTCATTCCCTTTAAAAGATAATTTTTGTAGAGCCTGAGGAATATAACGGCGGAAGAACTGCTAGTGATATAGTTGCCTGGGCGGAGGAAAAGGCAGCTGAGAACGTGTCTCCGCCAGAGATAAAGCAGATTCTATCTGATGCTGATGTTGAAGAAGGTTGTGGGGAACACCCTCTTTGTGTGATTGCGTTTCTGCCTCATATCCTTGATTGTCAGGTATAAACCGTACACATTATATAGTTTTGATTTAAGGGACTGGTCCTTAGTTGAGGCGACTTCTTAGTTTCTCTCTACATTATCTTACAACAGATAAACAGGAGTTTCGTGTATAAATCGACAAAAATACTAAATATATTTGACGGTTAAGCTTATGTTCTTGCGAAAAGGTTGTCAGCAAAGAATAGTTATAAGTGTTTGCAGATATCTTGACTCTAAAAGAATTGTCAATACGTTGATTTTATTATGTATTATAGTGCACAAGTCTTGAAAAATACATTCTTTAAAGTATTTGTAAGAAATGCATGTTTTTATATTTATCGAAACCTTTAAAAGAAACCTTCCTTAAAATCCGCTAATATATTCTTCAATAAGAAAGGTGCATGTTAGATAAATCATATTTTATTTTGTTTTATTTCTCCCTGCATAGAACCCAGAGTCATATTTCATTTCAAATCTATGCAGTTTAACCTGTATAGTGTATAGAAATTACAATTTAATATTCAGTTAAAACCTTTTATATTAAACTTGAAGTATTAATTTTCAAGTAAACTTAGTTATTTTTGGGAGAAATACATGAACAATTTGGTTAAAATAACAGTTTTTTTGTTATTCTTATTTGGTTTGATTTGATTTGACCTAAATACATGAGGTGAATGTAGCAATTAATCATTTATCTGTAACTACACTCTACCAACATAAATCAAATTCAATTTATTATATTGGATATTTTGTAATATCATCCGGGGAGGGGGGNCGTCAATGACTAAAATTCATTTTATCGGTGAGCGGGAAAAACTAGCAAACATTAAGAGAAAGAATCATCATAAAGGGACTGTAAGCGTAATTTCAAGTGACCCACCATGTGAAGATGACAATGACTGATTTTCTTTAAAAGCGTTGTCTGATCAAGTATACGGTAGAAGATATCAATTTTTACAATGTTCAATTGTGGCTTCTCTACAAACGTTTCTTGTGCATTTCTACTGCAGGAAAACAAATGTGAATTATCAGAATATAAAAACTTGTTAAACCTGAAAAACGAAAATATCTTTCACAATATTGACTAGATATAGGTTTCAAAGGTACCGTTGTAAAGCCATCTTTTCCTGGAGGGGCACTTGAAATAACGCTTACAGTCCCTTTAAGTGCTGCAGAGAAATGGAATACTTGTATAGCGTATCTAAAGCGGAAGGGGGTTATGAATTAGCAGGATCTAGAAATACTAGATTTTGGTTTTTTAAAGTTTTAATTTTGAAATATTTGCAGGCTAGCTGCCGTAATGCATTCCTTGAAGACCTCCGGAAGCTGGGAGACAAATACAAGAAGAAGAGCTGGGGTTGGCTCTGGTCCGAGGCTGTTGCTCAACCTGACCTCGAGGCCTCCGTTGACGTCGGAGGATTTGGATACCCAGCCATGGTTGTTGTCAGGTAGACTATTTTTGACTAATTTTTGACCAAATCTTCTAAATCTAGGATAATGAAATATTTTTTTTTATTTATGAAAAATAGATGAGAATTATGAATTACTTTAGGTTAAGATTTTGATTTTGATTTCTAAGAGTCAGATAGTTTAGAACACAAAAGCAATCTGAGCTAATCTGAAAACTTTTCAGCTCTGAAAACTGTAGAATTGTTGATATCACGATCAATGCTTAATCTCCTCTTTTTGTAAATCTCCAGATTATTATCTTTATTTTGATTTTTTATTAATCTTGAGGTAAAAAAGAAAGGATAAAGCATTAATCTCGATATCCAGAATTTTATAGTTCTCAGCTCTCTGCTTAAATAAGATCTTAATCTAAGAGAAACATGTACGATGGTTTGTATACCTCAGCCCAAAGATTTCAGAAGAAAGTCTGCGCATATACTTGTTTAGGGATGTATAACAAAACCAAAAGATTTTAATCTGTTGTTTTCAGTCAAAAGAAGATGAAGTACTCAATTCTGACGGGATCCTTCGGGTTCGACGGGATCAACGAGTTCCTAAGGGATCTCAGCTATGGCAAGGGAAGAACCAACCCTGTCAGAGGTAGCTTATTTTTTTTACTATTTTAGACAGGAACTTACTTAATCCGAATTTCTATCATGGCTATTTTCTTAATGAGCTTAACTAAACCATCTCTGAACTGGGGCGGAACTTTATGAATTGGAGACTACCTCTCGCTGTGCCCCGCCTATCTAAAGATAAAGATTCACAAGGATTTGAATCGGTTATTCAGGATTTGAACTGGTAGTTTGTAGTTCAGCTGTCGATTAAATTCATAGCCCTTGATTTAATTTGAATGCATTACCAATCCCCTTTTTAATGTATAAATAAGAAACGGGAAAAAGTCAATATTTTTCACTTAAGGGGAAGAAACCCTAAAAAAAAGAGGTCTTCTTACTTTTTTATTCTTGACATGATTTTATTGAAATTTGTTTTATCGTTTTAAGATCTAAATATTTATATTTCCGAAAGTTTGGTAAAACATTATTACATTATATTACAAACTAGCTGAAGGGCCCGGCGTTGCCCGTGGATTTTTTAAAAAGATATTTTAATTTTTTTTAGCCTAGAATTATCTGGCCACCCATGAGTGTCCCCAAAAAATTTCGGCCCAATCCGTCCAGCCGTTTGGCCGTCTATACACAACATATATATGAATGTCTTGTTTTATTATTTAGACTAGCTGAAGGGCCCATGGAAATTTTTTTCTTAATTTTGAGAAAAAATTCGATTTTTTTAAGCGTATAATACCCCCCGGCCACCCCTGAGTGTCCACAAAAAAATGTCAGCCTAATCGGTCCAGCTATTTGGCCGGCTATACGCACATGAAAAATATGATATTTAAGAGGTTCGTGAGAATTAATTTTTAAATTTTACAAAACTATTTTAGCGTTTCGAGGAGATTAATTCCAAGGATTGAAGATGTAAAATTTAGCTGTTTTACAATTTATCAATCATATTCTGCATATAGATATAGAAAGTCGAATTGGTTTTATCGACTTTTTTATAAATTAAACTGAATTATAGATTGCTAATAAGATAATATGTTATTATCTATCATCTTCTTTATATAACTATATAAATACCCTAGGTTGGAGCTGGGTCTTATATAGAACATTGAGTTAAAGATATGTGATTATCTGGCATGTTTTACATATACAAATTGTACGTATTATTAACGGTTTAAAAAGTAAAGATTTTGTCCTGTTCATTCCTTAGCATTAAAAATTAGTTCTTATCAATAATGTTTGTGTAGGAGCTCAGATGCCTAAGATCTCTAAGGTGGATGCTTGGGATGGAAAGGATGGAGAACTACCTGCTGAGGAGGACCTTGATCTTAGTGACGTAGATCTAGACAAGGATGAACTCTAAACACAGGAAAATACAACGAGATTTAGACATTCTAATTTTTTTATTCCATAATTTTTCGATAACAAAAAAGGGGAAATGCAACTTTTTTAGACGGTTTGAAGGACTAGCCTCCACTTCAATGGAAGTAAAGTAGTTTTTTATCTAAAAATTTATTTTCGCAGATTTGTTAGAGAAACTACTTGCGGATTTTTACTTCTTTGAACGAAATATGGATGACATTAGTTTCATTTCTATAAGAAAGACAAAGAGACGTCTCAGTAATCAGAAATAAAAAAAGGGTTTTAATCATTTTAGAAACTCTAATTTGAAAAAAGTGCCCCTTCTATTAAATAGATGTTATCTAAGCTGTATTGTATTAAAGGAATGCAGAAATTTTTAAGTCTGTTTTGAGGACAAAACTTTTTACTGAAGATTGGTGACAAACACGACACTTTTTTGTGACGCGTCGTTGTTTGACAGACGACCAAGTGTCCAAGGCTCAAAGACGGTGCTATATCTGTTGCCGCAAATCTCGTCAAAAAGTGTGATAATAGTGAACGCTGCATGTCTTCTTTATACGCACGATATCTTCTTAATCAATTAATATTGTGGTTTTATCAATTATTAATCCTATTAAATATAATGAAAAAATGCCATTTAATATGTAATTAATTAATTTCCTGCGCTTGAGTTTAGTTTTAAGTTGTTTGAATGTTACAGATGAATCTACTATGGTTGGTTGGGTCCTTGCTGGTGGTCTGCGGGGTGCTGGAGGGGAAGAAGAAGGGGAAGGACGGATTGTTCTCCTCCGACACCTTGAAGTGCTTGGTCTGTCAGTCCCTCGTGGAGGAGATAGAGTTTCTTATAAACAAGGTAATTATTTTTATTAATTGTATTTTATTTTCATTTATTTTGAACTATTTCTTAAACATTATTATTAAACATTGAAAGTTGTGGATCACAAACAAAGTGATAGGGAGGGGGGTGCTTTTATTTCACTGTGACTGTCAGAGGGGTGGGGGGCTATGGGGGCTAAGCCCCCCCCCCTGGACCAGTGAAATCTATTGATTTAAGGGTGTTTTCAGGCTCCAACGGGTGCTGAGCTACCCCTGACCCTACCTTTTTTTTTTACAATCTTTGTTTTTGTTTTGATTACTAGTGCTAATTTGTCATTAATTCTGAATCCGTCTAGTAAAAAAGGTATCTTAGTCTTCTTCCTGTCATCGCTAACATGGAACTGCCTTTTTAGATTTTAGGAATTGTTTTCAATTCTCTAATCAGGGTTGGCATAAAAAAAAACAATAAAACCTACTTTAAAAAGCACATGTAAGTAGGCTTTTTTGGGTTGTATTGTTTTTTTTTTTTTGAATTATTCGAATTATTGCCTTTTCTGCCCTTTTATAATGATAAACTCTTAAAGAAATAAGGTCTAGTATTAACTGTATTGATTTTTAGGGAGTTTGCAGAACTAACAGTGACAAATTTATTCATTTCCTAATACTTAAACCAATGATCTTAACAACATGAATATAGCACGAATAATGAGTTTTTTCAAAACAAAAATATTGAATTAATTAAAGTAGTCAACCTTACCACTCTGGACTTCAAGACGGTTTCTGGTTTTAGACCAGACAAATCCAATAGTAGAAAACCTTAGAAGCAATCGATCATCTGCAGTGCTTGTTTTTGTTTATAGCAAGTTTTAAAGATCTTGAAAACCCCAAGAAGATTCACAGAACTTCATCAGAATTTTCAAAATTTTTTTTGTCTTGAGTATATAAATATCTACCGATTAATCAGAAATATGTATCCAAGTGAGAAAATAGCCAAAAAATCATAGAACTATAATTTCAAAAAAATTGCAGTATGATGAAGGGAGGTGATATTATTGTATTTGAAGAGATTTATATATGATTATAATAATAGCCTTTTATCACAACAACATTATTATTTTTCATTTCTATAAAGTTCACCTATCGCTTAAATAGTCTTATTATTATGAATTAGTGAGAATTTTAGAAGGTTTTAAATACTATCAACTGGAAAACCCCAAAAAAGCCAAAAATAAACCAATAAAACCCTATAAAACCCTAAGAAACCCTATAAAACCCTGAATCTCTTAAAAAATAAAAATGTAAAATGTAAAGGAAAATTTGTGAAGAACTTTTATGTAAGTCTTGGATGATATGTTACTGAATCCGGATCCGGATCTAGCAAATCCGTATTCTAAGCACTGCAAAATACAAAATTATTAATAACCTCGCTCTAATTCCAAGTATATACAGGTTGACCCAAAGAAGAAAATAGAAACTGGAACCTTCCGACTCAACTCTGATGGAACACAAAACAAAAATATTGTAAGTAAATATATTTACTTTATCAAATTTTTTAATAAATTATTTTTTCCCGTGAACAATTTTTCAAGTTTTTTTTAGTTTTCCTTGTGCTAAATGTTTTGAAAGATCAAATTCCAGTCATAAAATGAACAACTAACCACGACAAAAATTTAATCGGTTTTTTTGCCATTTATTCTTGTCTTATAAGATAGGCTTGGGAAGCCGATTAATTAACTATAAAATGTTGTCTTAATTTAGATTTCATATGCGAGGTCTCAGACTCATCTGATGGAAATTGTGGATTCAGTTTGTAAAACTTTTGAGGATTATGCTCAAGCCAAGTCTAAGGTTTCGGGCAAACCAATGATTATTAGGTAATATAAAATCTATATATTTATTAGAAGGGAACATGAACCCTTGTATTTAGGATTGTAACCCCTGAAGGGAACATGAACCCTTGTATTTAGGATTGTAACCCCTGAAGGGAACATGAACCCTTGTATTTAGGATTGTAACCCCTGAAGGGAACATGNTCTGCGTTTTTTGTGCTTTCAATATTACCGGAGATATAAAGAGTTTGGTTCAGATTTCAATTTTGTTAAATAAAAGCAAAATTGTCGAAATATGAAAGAATTTTTTCATATCTCGGGCAATATTGAAACCGAGGCCAGCAGCTACTGTAGAGATAGCGATGACTAAAGTGGTGGAAAGAGCGCAGGAATTGCTATACCCCTTTTTCCAGATGAAAACTGAAGCAGAATTATTAACCCAGATGTTAATTGGGTTGATAAATCTTATATCTATAATCTTATATTTAGGATTGTAAACCCTGAAGGGAACATGAACCACTTGTATTTAGGATTGTAACCCCTGAAGGGAACATGAACCCCCAGATGGGAGAGGTGGATATGGTTCCTGATGATGACCTGAATACTCGGCTTAAATTTTACGTAAGTTAAATTTATCAAACTGATTAAATTATATTCTAAAATATGTATTGAAAATAGGGATTTATATATTGATGAGTTATAATCAAAGAGAATAGAATATAGATTAGAGGGGAATTTACTAGAAAAAAGTGTAAAACGGCAATTTTGTAGTACTGTTTCCATACTGCAGGTGTACTTCACATATTTATGCTATATAACCTGTTGGGCCCTGGAATATCATTTTATAGAAAATCTTGAATTAATATTAAAAGAAAACCAAATTATGAAATAGGCAGGTTTCATAATTGACCAATGATCATTTCACATAGACTCTATCCCTTTCACTTAACAAACGATGATTTTCCGTTATAACTATAAATCAAATGACGTTTTTTATTCACCTAATTAATTTTATAATGTTTATTTAACAGCTTTAAAGAATTCGAAATTGAAATGGATAGTTTAGGGAACATACTGTATTAATGTACTCTACTGCATATAATTTGAACATTTACATGATTTGTACACTTTGAACTCCCTTTTAGGCTGAAAGGGACTGAAAAAATTTATACCGAGGGATTGGCTAAATTTCACTCTAATACATATTCTATTCTCTTTGGTTATAATTCTATCAAATTATCTATTTTAACTAGTTTTTCGTGTTACAATTTGTATTCATTAAGATTTTGAAACTAAGTAATTAGCAATTAATGAAAAATAATAAATTGAATAAAATATTTTTTATTTTTGCGCTAAGATGATATCTCTGGTAAGAAAAAACTGTTTTTGTTCATGCATGGTTTTACTCCGCATAATTTTATTCCAAATATTTCAAAATTAAGAACTTACATTTTTTTCTTTCTATTTATGTGAAAACTAAATAGTTTGACATTATTTAAAAACATGGAATTTTTTGGTGGACCAAAAGAAGCTGCGGGTTTATCTTCATCATCAATTAATAAATATTTAATAAGAAATATTTCGTACAAATTTAAAATGTAATGCAAGCATTGAATTAATTGAATACAAATCTTTTTTTGGCCACATCGTGCACCCCACACTGTATATTGCATGGCATATGATTTCACTGCATGCTTTTTTACATTTATTTTGTTATTTTTTCCATTGTTTGCTATTTTAAAGATCGAAAAGTAAAAATGATTTCTCTAGATTTTTTTTACTTTGTGTATTGTACAATGCGTTATTATAAATTAATGAAATTCAGAAATTATTGGAAAAATTTGTATCGATGATAAAAAATCACAAAATTAATAAATTGTGATAATATAGAGTAAGATCAAGAGGATGAAATAATGCAATTATTCTCTAATAAATTAATTAATTAAATATTAATTAGTGTGAGCATATAATGGAGGATCAAGAAGATGATATAATGGAATTATTCTCTAATAAATTAATTAATTAAATATTAATTAGTGTGAGAATATAATGGAGGATCAAGAAGATGAAATGATGCAATTGTTCTCTAATAAATTAATTAATTAAATATTAATTAGTGTAGAAGATCAAGAAGATGAAATGATGCAATTATTCTCAAATATATTAATTGATTGAATATAAATTAGTGTGAGAATATAGTGGAGGATCAAGAGGATGAAATAATGCAATTATTCTCTAATACATTAATAAATTAAATATTAATTAGTGTGAGAATATAGTGGAGGATCAAGAAGCTGATATAATGCAATTATTCTTTAATAAATTAATTAATTAAATATTAATTAGTGTGAGAATATAATGGAGGATCAAGAAGATGAAATGATGCAATTATTCTCTAATACATTAATCAGTGTGAGAATATAGTGGAGGATCAAGAAGATGATATAATGGAATTATTCTCTAATATATTAATTAAGTAAATATTAATTAGTGTGAGAATATAGTGGAGGTTCAAGAAGCTGATATAATGCAATTATTCTCAAATATATTAATGAATTAAATATTAATTAGTGTGAGAATATAGTGGAGGATCAAGAAGATGATAAAATGCAATTATTCTCTAATATATTAATTAAGTAAATATTAATTAGTGTGAGAATATAATGGAGGATCAAGAAGATGATATAATGCAATTGTTCTCTAATAAATTAATTGATTAAATATTAATTAGTGTGAGAATATAGTGGAGGATCAAGAAGATGATATAATGGAATTATTCTCTAATAAATTAATTAATTAAATATTAACTAGTGTGAGAATATAGTGGAGGATCAAGAAGATGATAAAATGCAATTATTCTCAAATACATTAATTAATTAAATATTAATTAGTGTGAGAATATAGTAGAAGATCAAGAGGATGAAATAATGTAATTATACTCTAATAAATTAATTAATTAAATATTAATTAGCCTGAGAATATAGTGGAGGATTAAGAAGATGAAATGATGCAATTATTCTCTAATAATAACTATTAATTACTACTTAACCGGGAGATTAAGGGAGGATAATTAAATTGAGGGGAAAACCACTTAGCCGAGGGCCTCCATAAAAAAGGAGGGAATTTAAGGTTGGTTATTTCGTTGAACAGGAGATTAATTAATTAATAAAATATTAATTAGTGTGAGAATATAGTGGAGGATCAAGAAGATGATATAATGGAATTATTCTCAAAGGAAGGAAAGCATAATGATATCCAGCTATGCAGTAAACGGTAACAGTTTTATTTTAAATTTTGAATCTATGTAGAAAAAAAACAAGATATGGTTATTTGTTCCCTCAGACCGGCCAATCGGCATGACCGAATTGGCTGAAATTTTTGAGGATACTCATGGGTATCCCGGGTGTGATATAGGCTAAAAAATCGGCGTTTTTTTAGTTTTTTCCCCACTGGAAACGCCGGGCCTTTCAACTTGTTTTCAATATTTTAAGTAATTTAGTAGATTAAAAGAACTGTTAGACTACGTCATTTCGATTGACACTTTTTGAATGAATTTAGAAATCTGATTATTGAGATTTTAATACAGCAACATCGCATTCTAAAAATTATATTTTTTATGCTTCTGAGCTATCTGAATATAATTTGTATTTGTTAAGATCAAGTTACTGTGAGGATACTGAAATACCTGCTGATGAATATGAATTTGAGAAAGAAGAACTGTGATCAACCAAATCTGAGCTTTATAATTCATTAGTTTACATTGTTGAATTTATACTTTTATAACGTACACTAAATAGTTAGCGTGGTAACAGAACGTGATTACCCACCAAGGACGAGAATGTGGAGATGACCTAAAAATATGACAATTTGAAACTTGGTATTTGATTTCTGCATTCAATTGAGTATTTTGATGGTTCACTAAATGATTAAAAACAGAAATAAACCAGTTTTGGCCCTACTTCAATCGTCTGAGAAGTCTCATCCTTTGTGGGTAACCCTGTTGACAAAAGCACTTCTAGAATAGATTTCACTTTTCAGAAAGCAAATTTGATCCCCCACGTTAAGGAGACTGAAAATAATTTCATAATAAGATCACTTGAAATGTTCGTACCTTCTGAAGAGTAATACTGTACTCTGTACTGTTTCTTGGCTGCATTTGGGTACATTTCTAATTTTAGAGAACTTCTAAATACATGTTTTTTTATTGTGAATTGCACTTGCCAGCTTCTTAGATTATGATTTTATATGTTTTTTTTCTATATTTCTGTACAACTATGATACTGAACAGGTCTACAATTTGTGATATACACATAGTGATAAAAAATTTTATATAATTGGTAAAACTCAATTTAAGCTTAATTTTTAATCTTTTTAAAATATAGCATTTTGTATTTCTAAGGCATAATTATAATTTTTATGAATGTTAAGTATTTCCGTAACACGTGATCTTTATGATAAAATAGTGACAGAAGTATCAAACGTTAATTGTCGCCTTGTCTACCCTAACTTGTTTTTTTTACGTACACGCAGTACACTACAGTCAACTTGCTTCGTAATTTATGTACGTTTAGATAGTTGTTTTGCCTGAAAGTTTTGATGAAAGAAGATTTACAATTTGTATGCACGAGAGTTGAAATATATTAAATATATTTTTGTTACCGAGAATCTTGTCGTTTTTATTTTATATTGGTAGACTGTTTTAGACTTATCATACAGGAGGGTGTCCAAAAAAGGAATTAAATTATTCACTGAAAGCTATTTGTCTTTAGATTTCCACAATGAAGTCGTAAATAACCTTCAAGATTAACGACATGCACCTTAATTATTAGAACAATTTCTTAAGATGCCCTTTACAAGGACCACCCCCCCCCCTTTACCTTTACAGGAAAGTGGTGGTTACTGGCTGTGCATGATGTGGCGGGTGGCTGTGTGATAAGCCCCCCCCCTCCTCGAAAATAATCTCTGTATATGCCCCTTATTCATTAATAATCGCTCTTATGGGTTAACTCGCAATTGGTTTAAGGAGTTAATTACTTGATGCATTTCATTAATCCTATTTTTTCACTGAAAAATATTTTAATTTATTTACTTTTCACTTTTCTTTTTCTTTTCTATTTTTATTCTCTTCATTTGTTTTAGACAATTTGGTGTTTAGAGCTCTTAGAGCATTACTAACAAACTAAATAAATATTTTGGTTAAACTTATGATATGTATATTGTGCCTGCATTCAAAGAGGATACAATGGTCGAGCCTGGACGGGGTAAAGGAAGAAAGGACTCACAAAATATGTGAGTAAAATCAAGTGTGATATCTTCAGGATCCAGGCTACAAAATTTAACTTTCCCAATGTTGAATCGTTGGTACTAAATTTATACTTTTTGGTGGATTCCCAAAATAATAACATGAATGATCTGGAACTGCTATCTCTCCTGGGTAAAATAGACAGAATATTGTCTACAACAGAATGTAAAAATGGTCTGCTAGTCGGGGACATAAATTGTGATTTTTCTAGACATTCATATGTTGTGCAAAGTATTAGAACATTTGCAGAGGAGAAAGGCTGAAATATTTCCTGGAATCTGTCAGATAATGATCGAAATGAAGAAGTAAGTTACACATACAGAAATACAGTGAACAATATAACTCACACTTCCACTTTTGATCATTTCCTCATTGGAACATGCATGGAAAGTTCCGGTTTTACAAGAACTTTTAAATACAAGAACGAATAATTAATAAGTTGAAGGATTCGATGATTACGTAATAACTGAAATTATAAATATGAATTATGAATGAGTAATGATCAATGTCGTCTATTTGTGCATAATTTTGCATATTTTTCTCTTTTCTAATTTGGAAACCTGTATTTTCAAAAATGTATGAATTTATACCTCCCTACTATTTTCCAATTTTATAATAAAAATAACACAAAATGTAAATAATAGATGATAATAATAAAAATAGCTATATATAAAATATAAATGATTATAATCAAAGGTTGCTATACCTAGCGATTTCTATACGTTGGATTTCTATAAGGGTTTGACGCCTGGCCTTGTTACCGCGCCCTACGCTTGGCCAATTTCTTAAACGTTCTACCATAGGTAGAACCACAGTCACACTATGGTTACGCTTTACCAGAGTAGTGTAGATAGATAGATACGACCTATAGTTGTACCTATGGTTAAATTATTAAGAAATTGGCCAGCTATGGATCCCTTGTCGATTTTAATAAAGCATCATATAACATATATATTATCTTTGTAAAGCACTCACCTACGACCGCGATGATTCTCATTGGTTGATTTCTGTGACGTATGAGCTGTGATTGGTCCAGAAGCTGTACCGTTTCAAAGTTTTTAGTTTAGTATGCAACCATCAGGTGTCTCTTTGCAGACTCAGCTTTAATCCTTTAAAATAGAAAATATTTGGTCATTTTTAAACAATTTGGATAAAAATATAATTTCCATCACATGTTAAAATAAAAATCAATTATAAAATTAAATTTATTTTAGAGTTTCACAGTTTCATGTTGGTGTTTCAAACATAAATAGTTATCATATTCTCAAAATCTTCATTTTTGTTCATGACTGAAATTGTTTCCGGAGTTTATGATGCACAAACATTTTTTTGATAAGCTTTTGCTTTCACTGTGAAACTTTTCTACAATCCTGCCTTTTTGGAACGATATTCCCTCTCATGATACAGATGTTAAAAATATGTTTAACTTGGCTTATACACATCCATTTAACCCTATTCCCGCTGGGGGGGGGGTCAATTTGACCCCCCCCTGTAGTTTTTTTTACATAACTCAAAAAGTATTGGTCTGAGGCTGTTGAAATTTTCTGACTTTTCTTACATACCCAAAGCCCTCCCTTTAGGCCTAAAACCGGGCTTTAATACTAACTGCCTGAGTCCTCAGGCACACTGCCTGAATTACTGCTCTTGCCTGTAGCAAACTAAATCTTTGTTTTGACCCACTTTCACTTGTCAGATTTTGATAAAATTTAGCTTTTTGGAAAGCCTATGACATAAGGAAACGGATTGCACAAGTTTTGCGAAAAAAAAATTGCAAATTTTTTGCAAACAACCTGTCAAAGGAAATTTGCACATTTTTAGTTTTTCTTGATTAAAAATCAGGTTATTTAAAATTTTGCAAAAATTTTTGCATATTTGAAATGGCATGGTAAAGGGCTTTTCAAAAATGTATAATTTGTCATTTTTTGGACAAATTTTTTTTTGCAAATATTTTTACTATAAAACTGGATTTTGCGATAAAAAATTCAATTTTCGCAAATTTGCAAATTTTTTTGCAGATTCTAAAAGTAGAGCACAAGAGCTTTCTAATGATGTATCATTTGTCATATTTGGACATAAAACATGGGATTTAGAGGGGGGGGGGTCAAATTGACCCCCCCCAGCGTATCCTGGTTTTCAAGTACCCCAGCGGAGATAGGGTTAAGCATTATGGTCTTTACTTTAAAGGTTATCCGAAAACAAACATGTCACTACTGATGATACTAATCATACGGCATTTTTGCAGGACTGTTGTTCAGTTAAAAACAATTTTTATTAATTTCCAAATTAACATCTTTCAAATCTCTTTCCAATTCAATTCTAAGAATAATAAGATACAATTTAGTTTCCGACAGTTCTAATCGGAATATCAGTGAATTGTAACATATGTAGACCCCCTCCCCCCCAGAAAAAAAAATAATTTCACATTAATTTACACAAATTTTAAATTGCGTGCTAAATTCATGCTAAAAAAATTAAATAAGTTAAAACACGAAAAACATTAAAAAGTTTCTTTTAAAAAGATTTGTGAACTGGTGTTTGGCCACAAAGCATTATTTATAGTTTTAAATGGTTTTAGAACGCTAAAACTTCTTTACTTTTTCAACTTCTATAGTTTTTAACAAATTTGTTAATTTTAAAAAGATTTTTTTATGCATGGTAGGGTGGAGGACAGCCAAACGGCAGGTCGGGTGTATCATAAAAATTAGTAATGGTCAATAACTGTTTGTCAATTAAGCTACAGGGCTAAAATTTATATATTTTTAAAGCCTTAAAAAATATCAAAGAGGAAATAATATTGAATTTTGTTAGGTGAAATTTATGAAATTTATATTTTTTTTAATAGATATCTCAAGGTTAAATTATTATTTTTCATTATAGCACGCGTACAGTTTTTTAAAAACATTTTCAATTTTTTGAAATCAAAGACGATTTCCAAGCATAGTCTCTTAATTCTCATGTTTATTGGGACACCCTGTATCTCACAAACTCGATCTTATCATAAAAAGTAATAACCTTATACAGCAAAAGAATTTCTCGAGTTCTTCTACTGTTACCTACAGGGTGTTCCACGAAACATGACGGTTGCTGAATAGTTTTGAATGTCTTATTCCATGATACTTTATTTTATATACACTTCTTGCAGTTTATTACGTTAAATTTTACTTTGAAATTAATATTACTATAATATGACTGTCATATAACATCTTTTATTATTCTCTTTGGTATAAAATAACTTAACACATTCTGGAAGAAGACCATTTGTAGAGTTGCGTGCTCAATTCAAAACATCACTCTCTAAAGCTCAAAAAAGCAAATTAAAGATGGTGGAGTTATTCTTAGATGAAGTTAGAAAGGGTCCCGTTGTTTTCATCGGATATATTGCCCTGACGGCATTGAGGGTATTATAAAATTACGCCTGCGTATAGTTACTTGGTAGGCGATTATATCAATACAATGAAGACAACTTTTTTATTTCAGTTTTGATTGTTAACAAGCTTTCTTAAAATTACAAGTTTACAAGTAATGAAATAGAGGCTTTATTAGTTAATAGCTCGTTATTTCTATGTTTATCCATGCTGTTGAAGTTGAAATCGAAAGTCGTCTTTCTTGTATTGGTAAAATTGCCTGCCATTGCATACTGAAATTTTGACATGGTTATGATAAGAAATGTTACAATTTATTGTGAGGATGAACCGCTCTGATCTATTTTTAACAGACAAATTGCAGTTAGCAAAGTTGATGTTTAAAGGCCTTCTTCACTCCTTAGCTATAAATGGAGTGTATCGTCTAATAAATCTTTTGATTGTGATTAAAAAAAACGAAAATGTTTGAACTAGATTTATTATAAGTTTAAAGCTTTAGATGACAAGGATTGGTTTTTTCTTCTAGCAAAACTTTAACAACAACTTGGTGAATCCTAGAACCAGCGGAATTGAGTACAAAATACCAAGTTTGGTACAGCTGTACATGAGCTTCCAAGTAAATTGTACAGGAACCACATAGATCGTACAGATGAGGAGTAGAGTTGTCAAAATAAGGCTGTACAATCGTACATGAAGAATCCATTTGAAAGCTTGGTAGAACTGAACCATACAGAAATACAGCAGCACACTGCTGTAGATTAATTTACTCCAGATCATTATCATCGAACTAAAAATTCAATAATGATAATTAGAAACGATTCATTTTTTCGCAATTACAGAGAAGAAAAAGAAAGAGGAGGAAAAGGTAGAGTGTGAGGGGAAGAAAAAGAAAGAGGAGGAAAAGGTAGAGTGTGAGGGGAAGAAAGAGAAAGAGGAACAAAGGTAGAGTATGAGGGGAATAAAGAGAAAGAGGAGGAAAAGGTAGAGTATGAGGGGTAAAAAGAGAAAGAGGAGGAAAGGTAGAGTATGAGGGGATGAAAGAGAAAGAGAAATAGGAGGAAATGGTAGAATAATGAAAGAAGTAAGAGAAAGTTTCATAAACAATTCCATTTTACCTTTCTTTTGAAGACGCCAAATTGGAAACCTCCATCCTTGATATTGTAGACTTAATGATTTAAAAAAATGAAATTGCGGATTTCTCAAATTAAATTTGCGAATTTTTCGAAATGGCAATGAATGTAGGATTAATCATTAACCTCGTTTTTAAAGAAAAGAAATGAAATATCCTCAATATTGGTGGCTATTTTGATCCAAAAATTTGATTTTCATAAACAGGGTTCCGAAAATTTCCATAATGGAAATAGAATAAATTCCGGATAATTTACGTAATTCCGGCATGGAAACCCTACTTATGATACAATGAAAAAGCTATATCTAATTAAACGTACTTTACCAAGCCAGTCCCTGATTGGAAAACCAAGCACTCCTAATTTGTTAGTGTCAAGAGTTCCCGCTTTTTTTCAATCAGCGCATGTGATGCCTCTTGATATGGAAGATCAGTTTAAATTAAGACGACGTTAACAACACAAAATTGTCTCTTGCACGACGCATGTACTGTCCCGGATTGCCTTATATAGTCTGTAATTGTACTATACAGCTACTGGACGGTACTTCGCTTCCATCAAAATTTTCCTTTTCGTTATACTAGGTAATGATTTTTTAATTGATTTTTTTTCAACAATTTTGATTGCTACTCAACTGTAAAAAAATTCTTTATCTATTTATGTTAAAGAGATCGTTCACTTATTTGGGTAATTTCAGGGTAAACTAAACAGCCTATTCGCTGTTGATTGGTGTTAGTCTTACTTTTCAAAGACAACTGTGGCCGGACAAAAAGCCGATTTTTCGTTCAGAATTCGAGCGTTGCAAAGATATAGGGATTCGAAAATTTGAGTTTGTGGCAAAGACTCAATTCCTCTTAAATGAATTTAATAAAATGAATTGTTTAAAATAGACTTTACCCGTCATCATAAATAAAGTTAGAATTATGAACCATCATCAAAAACTCTTTTTTTATGCAAAATTTTATTGATGTGTAATGTTTCATGTTTTTGTAGAGTTTGTAATCTCATATTTTATTTTTAGCTTGTCTGGGGGAATAAGCCAAAGTTTGAACCGCCATTTTTGTATATTTTTTAAGTAATTTATTGCATTTTTCATTTATATATCTATACTTTTAATTGTGGCTTTATCTGTGAGCATCTTCTCTTTGTACAGTATAATTTTAAAAAAAATATTTTCAGAATTCATAATATTATTTCGCGTATTTTCAAAATTTTACAAAATCAAATAATTTATGAAAAAAATATTTTAAATTTGATATTTAAAGTCTGATTTACCATAAACCTAACCTGGGGCCACGTGAGGTTCCACACACAATTTTGCCCTGATCGGTTCAGCCGTTTTGACGTTTATTGGATACAAACAAACAGACACCCAGACAAGCTAAATTTATACATAGATATATATAAATATATTGAAAAATCTTTCATCTCTAATAAATTATTTTCATTGACACATGCAAATATGATTTAGTTTTGACAGACCGGGGAAATAGTCCTCAATCTCCATTTAAAAATAGTCTTTAAATTCAAAGTTTTTCGATATAAGCATTTTTAAGAAAATAGTTTTCTCGAATAGTTTTCACGTGGAATCAGAAATCCCTTTATTGGCATCTAGACTTAAAAACATTTTGAGGACAGACTGGAGGAAGAACTAAGGGTTAAAAACATTTTGAGGACAGACTGGAGGAAGAACTAAGGGTTAAAAACATTTTTGAGGACAGACTGGAGGAAGAACTAAGGGTTAAAAACATTTTTAGGACAGACTGGAGGAAGAACTAAGGGTTGAACACATTTAGAGGACAGACTGGAGGAAGAACTAAGGGTTAAAAACATTTTGAGGACAGACTGGAGGAAGAACAAAGGGTTAAAAACATTTAGAGGACAGACTGGAGGAAGAACTAAGGGTTAAAAACATTTAGAGGACAGACTGGAGGAAGAACTAAGGGTTAAAAACATTTAGAAGACAGACTGGAGGAAGAACTAAGGGTTAAAAAGTTATTATTGGAATTCATTTTATATCTTAAGATGTTTACCAAGTTCGACAGTTGATTGTTGAATCATCTCAAAAATGTTCATTTTGTTATTTTTGGACTGGTTGAATATTCGTTATCAAATATTTTAATCTTTAAAAATATAATTTATAATATGATCTGTTATGTTCAGTTTTTGAAACACCCCGTATGTGATAAATGTATATATTTATATATACATATAAATGAGAAAAAAACGTACTCTTGGTGTAACGAGGGGAGGAAGGCCAACCACAACAAATTCTCGTCCGAGCCACATTCTACTCATTTTCTCATCTGTCCCACCTCGAAATTTTCGTCCTTTCAATATTATTCTTTTAAAGTGTCTAATCTAATCTTATCTAATCCTCCCAGATAAAACTATTTCTAAAGAATCTGACCACGTTAGAGCATTAATGAAAAATCGAATTTTTGTAAATAGGAAAAAAGTTTCAATTAAATAAAAGTTCTCAAGTTTAATGTCTTTAAGAATTTTCACCTTTTTTACGTGCATTTTCAAATATTGCTGATGTAGAATGCCGCAAATAATTCTGAGTTTATAGAACTTCAATCTTTTTTGTTAATTATAGTGAAAACCATAGCATTTTTCCTGGTGATTCCATGGGGAAAACCATAGCATTTTTCCTGGTGATTCCATGGGGAAAATGTAGAAGAGATTTAAATTTTGCCTAAAAAAGTTTGACATCATTCTCATGAGTTTAAATATTCCAACATGATGTATTCAGTGCAATACTTCTGTCCATCCATGCTTTATGCCCTAACGTGTCAGATTTTTAAAATATAGTTTTATCTTCGAGAATTGGAAACTTTTAAGCACAGAATAATCGACGGACGAGAATTCTGGGCTTGGCTCTGACTAGAATTTGTTGTGGCTGGGCTTCCTCCCTTCGTGTAACAATTGAGACTTCGTCGTTTAGTTAACAAGATGTTTTTCAGCTTTCTGGTTTCTTTTTAATGCATAGTACAATACATACAATACAAAACAACATATACATATACATATATTCATATATATATATATATATATATATATATATATATAAGAATGTTATATTCATATGAATATAATATATCAGTTGAACCATGAATCCTTTGATTATGGATCAAACACGCTATAACCAGTGCTCTATCAAAACTTGATGATTGGTAATGATAATATAATATGAACAGGGTGAGTCAAAAAAAGTGTGATTATCGGCGCCTGGTGAAAAATTGTACCTTTTTATGTGAAACTCTCCTGTATTGTTTTTTTTTTATATTTTTTGGATGATGGAGAGATGGGAGAGATTGGAGAGATTGGAGAGATGGGAGAGATGGGAGAGATGGGAGAAAAGGGAGAGATGGGAGAGATTAGATGGATGGGAGAGATGGGAGAGTTTGGAGTCTGCGAACTTTTTTCTCTCTCAAAATCAAAAGTTCAGAAAAGCAAAAATGTGTANTCATTCTTTTTGCAAAATTTCAATGTTGATGTTGTTTTATTAGTAACTGATTATCAAGTGAAATTGGTCTGTTCATACTGTACATTGTACACTGTATAATGTACACTTTACAATGTACACTGTACAATGTACACTGTGCAATGTACACTGTACAATGTACACTGAATACAGTTAATATAGAACAAAAAGTATATCTTAAAAGTTGTGACTACTAAATAGTTATGAACTCATTTATGTAAATTGTTTAAAGTTTTTCAAAAACACTGATGTCCCAAAAAACGAAATGAAATACATGTTTGTATAAACACACGTACACGCGGACTATACGGCTATATAAGATGAATTATATATAATATTTATTGGTCCATGGATGATTAAATTAAACCTTTAAAGATTGTCTTATTATTGTAACATTTTATCAATAAAATTAAATAATAAAGAATTTAGAATCTTGGCATGTTTATTTTATTACAGAACGTAAACTTCCCCTTTTCCAGCGAATGTAAGAGGTTGCGTGATTTTAAATATAATTTACCCATACAGCTGCTATGGGTATATTGGGTGAAGAGGGTTAGAGAAGATCACCGAAATTACAGAATACTCAAACAACTCTGCATTCAGTTTTTATATTGCTTCAATGTTTACTTACAGGGTGAGTAAAAAAAGTGTGATAAGTGGCGTTCGGTGGAAAATTGTACATTTGTATGCAACTCTCCTAGCTGTATGGTATTTTTCAATATTTTTTGGAATTTTGTTTTGGTAATCCAATGGTTAAACAAATCCGCAAAACTTTTTTCTCTCTTAAAATCAAAAGTTCAGAGAAGTAAAAAAGAGTATATATATATATTATTTCTATCAAATTCGAAAATTAAGAAGATTGAATCACAGATTCACTGAAAATTTGCAAAATTGTAACAAGAAAATTCGAAATTTTTAGTTCTGGTCTAGTTTTTAAGGACAGTTGATATAATATGATATAAATATACACTTACTTTTAAACTTTTAAACAAGGAATAATTATGTCTTGTAGATTTATGTAGTACAGACAAAAAAGGAAAATGTCAGAATTTTGCACTTTTTAAGAACAAAAAACAACAATATCTTCCCAATTGTTTATAAAAAATTGTTTGTTAAAAATATCTTGCGTCACTTTTGTAAATAAAAATCAATTCAAAACATTTTCACTAAAAATCTTCCAACCCTAACATGAAAGATTGTATTACAAACTATAAACTATAATTTTGTTGCTGGAAAAGGGAATTTAAAACTGAAAAAGATTTAAAAGAATAATGTAGCTGCCAAGCATAATTATTTCATAAACTTCAAAACTTTTCACATTTCAAACAACCTTTTAAACTTTAAAAGATTTTAATTTTAAGAGAATTTTTATTATAGTTTTTAACTGAAAATTGTTCATATCTAGAATCTTTTGTTAGACCTTAGGTCTAAAGAAATGATTTATGGTGGGGTTTGAAAAATGTTTATTGATAAAAACTTGACTGAATATATGGGAGCGTTATGACTGTGGAGCTAGTTGCTGTTGTGGGATTTAGGGAGCTTCTCAACTGCTGGTATTGATGAATCTTTAGAACACGGAGCTGTCTGGAGCAGAACT